TCTATTTCTCCTGTACAACGTAATGTTTGATTTTGCATAACTGCTGTAGTAATTTGTTGTGGTAATTTTTCCATAAATTGTGGACCACCTTTAATTAAAATCAATATTTTAAATATATATATATAGTACTATAAAATGATAATGATATAAAATAAAATATATTGACTTACGTAATACTATTAATCGTCCCCGAGTTTCATCATTTCCATACTGATTAGTTGCAGTGCAAATATATGTGCCTTCATCATCTCTTGATACAGGACTGATTATAAGATTACCAGTTTCTAAAATTCTTCGTCTACCGCCAGAACCAATCACATTTCCATCTTTTTTCCAAACAAATTTCGGTCTAGGCGCAGCTTCAGGATTGCAAATAATTGTAATATTACCTTTTTCTGCTGCATAAGTTTCAGGTTCCATAGGTCGTTTTTTAAATGATGGTTTTAATGCTATTATTTAAAAAAAATGTCAAAATCATTTAATAAATATATATAAATATATATAATATATATATAATAATATATATATAATAATATATATATAAATAATATATATAAATATATAATAATAAATATATATATAAATATATATATGTATTAATAAATTTTTTAGTATATTTATTTTTTAATATTTTTCGAAATTCACATTGTACTTATATTAAATTTACTATATTAGATAACTAATATTTAAATAATTTTATTAAATATTTAAATAATTACATAAAATTCGAAGTTGTGCAGATGAATATCTTGTTTTTAATTGATTTCTTGCACGACATTGATACATTGCTTGGTCTCGTTCTGGATCCAAATTTTTTATACTTAAAACATTATCTTGTATAGAATATCGACCTTTATCTTCAGAGGAAAGCGTTTCCATGTTTAATATTTCACCATTTCTAAACCAACTATAAGTTACATCTGGTATTCCAAATGCTTCACAAGTCCAAGTTAATTCTCCTCTATTATCCATATGTTTATCTACTAATGGAATTGTAAAATTTGGAGCTGCCTGTATAGTTAGTGTTACACCATTTTCAATTGATAATCTGTCGTTATAAACTCTACAAATATATTCTCCTTGATCATCAACATGTATTTTAGGAATTATTAATACTCGATTATAACTAGTTGTGTAAGCTCCACGTGGAAGTGGTGCGCCTCTTCTTGTCCAATTGTATGATGGAACAGGACTATGTTAAATTAAAAAATAGTATATAAAATCACATATTATTTTAGAATTAATTTCGACATAAATTTATACATATTTATACATATATCTATAAAATTATTGATCATAAATCAATTTAAAAAAAAATTGAACTTACTATCCAAATGCAATGCATTCAAGTCTAACTTCTTCTTCTGCAATTGGTGCTTCTGGAAATGCCTTTGGAAAATTATTAGGGAATTTTAATTGCTGAAAGGAAGCTAAAACATTAAAAAAATATTAAATATATTGATGCAAAGATTGAATAATTAGTATATACACAGAAGAAGGAAAAGATAATTACAATGTGGATCAACTCTTAAAGGAAAAAATGGTCCATTACGACCAGTATCAGAAGCAACACTTTGAACATTACAAGAATAATTGCCACGATCAATCATTTCTAATGCAGAAAAATAAAGTGCACCATCATTAGAAACAAAAACACGTTTATCTTCTTCCACAAAATTAGGAAAATAATCACGTGCCCAGTAATATTTTACTCCAGGATAATGTTGTGGTGGATCACAATATACAGCTTTACCCCAATTTTGATCTCCACGTTCTTCTGAACGTTTTAAATTAAATTCTAAAATATATCCAAAAGATAATTCTACACTTTCTGATACGATTGTACCAAATTTATTTGTTGCTTTACAATGGTATGAACCTCTATCTTCTGTCTAAAAATAATTAATTTATATTAATTAAATAAAATTTTCTTTTATTTTTTTTATTTATTTATAAGTTTTATAAAATTTAAATTATTAAAATTTAAAATACTTACTTGATCAGGTTCATAAATAATTAAAGTACCACCACTAACTGTATATCTAACATTATTTAATGGATCTATTTTTGTTGCAATCAATTTATCATTTTCATAATCTTCTTTAAACCATTCATAAGTTGGTGTAGGATAACCACCTGCTAAACAGCTCAATGAAACATCATTACTTATTTTTCTTGTTGACATATCAAATACTTTATCTGTAGGTTGCTTAATAAAATATGGTCCTCTGGGTATTTCATTAGGATTATCAATTTCAATACCATATTGATAAGTACGATCATCATCTATTAAGTTATATAAATTAGAAATTGTTGCTTCACAAATATATAATAGTTTTTCTTTACCAGTTACTTTTTCTAATCCCCAACGTTGTAAATTATTATTATAAGAATATATTAAATAATCTTTATCAAATGTATCTAATGGTTCAGGTAAAAATGCATTATCCATATTTACTAATTGAGTATTATCACCTTCATTTATCCAATTTCCATTTTGATATTTTACACCAGTATACCATTTACGATGTTGTGGATCTTGCCATAATAATTGATACAATATGAATCCATGTTCTTCCAAAGAATTAATTGTAACAAGATCACTTTGATAGGCTTCACAATTTCTTTTAGCATCTTGTCTTTCCTTAATAGGACTTTTTATAAAACGATAACATGATTCTTGAAATTTTATCCAATGTTGTGGACAATGTTGATATAGCTCTTCATATAAGATATTTTGTGCAAATGTGTTATATGACAAAATATGAATATATATTAAAATCTTTGGTACACAATGCATTATTATTTATTATTATTTTAATATAAGTAGAAAATTATTAAGTTTGTTCAAATTAGTTATAATCTGAAATAAAATATTATTAATTTAATTATTTTTAAATAATTTATGTATTAATTATAACTTTTATTTTTTTTTTGATATTAAAAATTTTTTAAAATTTATCATTACTATGTTATTTTAATTTGTTGATTAAATTTATCTTATATTTAATATAAGTTATAAAATTTTGATTAATTTATAATTTTTTTTAAATTTAAATAAACAATTGTGCCTTATACACAATATAGAATATAATAATGTACAAATAATTACTATAAAAATTTTCTAGAAATAAATCAATCATTTATTACAAAATTAAAACATCATTAATTTTCTATATAATTATAATTTGAAGTTCAAAAAAAATAAATTATGATGCATTTATAAAACTTTTGAAAAATGTTTTTTATTTTTTAATATAATTGTATACAGATTTTTGATTAATAGATTAATAAAAATATATAAATTTTTTTATAATATAATATAATATAATAATTTCATAATAGAATTATTCAAGATATTAAAAATTTTAGCATGTAATACATTTTTTATAAGATATATATAATTTATTATAAAATATTATTTGGATTCATAAAAATTGATAAACGTGATAAACATCAAATAACGAATGAATGGCACATTTCGTATATGTATTTTAAATTAAAAAAATTTAATTTGTTATCCAAATTTATATTTTCAACTTTCCAATATTACATTAATAAAAAATACAACTATTTTTAATTTAATGTCAATTCTTTTTTTAAAATCGAATTTTATTGAATTTATTTGAATTTTTTATTATAAATTTTATTTTATTAATTATACATAAATAAAACAAAATATTTAAAAAAATAAAAATTCATCAATAAAACATAAAATTAAAAGAATATTTCTCAAAAAAAAGTTTCCTTCTCAAAATATACTTACATATAAAAGAAATATTTGAAATAACTACATAAATGAGGTGTCAGGGAGTGGCAATACAATCTTAAAATAATTTAATACAATATTTAATATAATTTAGATAAAAATTATTTGAAATTTTATTGTTAATAACAATTTTTTACCTTTAATTAATTTCCTTTTACATGTGAAACATTATAAATTGTTATTTAACAATTAGAGAAGCGTCCTTATTGTTGACACAACACATTATTAAATATGAGCTTGAACCTAATATATATATGATGTAAAAGTTACATTTCAGAAAAAGATACATTTTCGATTACCACAAATCATAATTTAAAATGGAAAATAAAAATTATTAAAAGGAATATATTTTTTTTATGAACTTCAATATAATTAATATATTATATAAAAGTTTATGATAAAATTTTAATATAATATTCTATTCATTGAAAATAAAACTTTAACATTTATGCGTATATATCTTTCATTATTATAGGCTTAAACTATATATACTTATAGAGAGCATTCATGTATAAAGAATTATGAGTCAAACTAAAACAAAAATAAAATAAGGGAAAACATGATGTCACTTGTGAATTACTAATTACTAATATTTTTTGAATTTAATGATAAACATTTGCGATTGTATTATAAAGAAAATAACTTATTAATAAATTATAATAGAATAAGAAATAAATTTAAAAAAACTATATTATTTTAGAATTTATATAGTATAATTATAAATAAATAATTTTTATTTAAATTTGTGCATTGTTGTTGCTATTTTCTTAAAAAAATAAAAATTATAATTTTCAAAATATACATCATAATGAATATTATTTAAAATAAAAAAATATAATAAAAATTAATAGAAAAAAAAGTTATTAACATAAAATAAAATATATGTTTAGATTTAATATTATAGATTAAATTACATTTCATAAATATTTATATATTGCTTTGAAAATTTTTATCATTACTTTGTTGATATACGGCATTACATAAATAATTTTATTTTCAAAATATCTAAAATGTATCTATAAATATATATAATTTAAGATAGAAATAAAATAATATCATATAATGCTATTATCGAACATGAGATTAAAGATTTCTTGATCATAATAAAAATGATATCGCATAGAATTTTATTATATGCATATGCAAATATGATTTATTAAAAATTAGATTTTAATATCTTCAGTTCATACATATTTGTAATTTATGTGCTACTTATTAAATATTAATACAAAAGCATCATGTCGTCATGGATCCAAATTCCATGATTCTAACCTTTCTGTGGTGAGAATTAATCATTATTTGTAACATTATTTTGATATATTTTTAAAATTATAATTTTTTAATAATTTAAAGGACACATAAAATAGATATTTATTTATTTATATCAAATTATTCTTTTTTCTACAAAATAACTGTAAAAATACATCTCCCGAGTAAGTAAATCATTATTGTTATTTATATTTCATAATTGCAAAAATTATACTATATTATCTATATAATCTATCTATAATAATATATAATAAATAATATATAATATCCATATATTTATAATAATTTAGAAAGGATATTCGGGATGAGTTTCAATTCCTTTAAAAAATTTTAAATCACAAATCCTACTAGATTCACCACAATCGAGATTATATAATTTTTTCATGTCTTCCGGATTAAGTTCCCAATCAAAAAGTTCTATATTTTCCTTAATTCTTTGAGGATTCGTACTTTTAGGGATAACTACAATTCCATTTTGTAAAATATATCTTAATAAAATTTGTGCAGATGATTTCTTATAGTTTTTTGCTATTTCCATTACTACATCGTTTTGTAGCATATCTGAAATTTCTTCTGTTTTATTCAATAATTTAATAAGACTACGCGAACCAAGTGGCGAATAAGCCGTTATAGGAATATTTTCCTGCTTGCAAAATTTTACCTAAAAAATATTATTTTGTTTATAAAATAAAATTGTCAAATTCTGTAATATATATATATTTAAATATATATTTAAAAAAAGATATTTTACCAGTTCTTTTTGTTGAAAATAAACATGAAATTCAATCTGCAGCATTGATATTTTCATTTTTGTGTTTTTTAAAATTCGCTTGATTTGAGAAATATTAAAATTTGATAATCCAATTGCTTTAGTTCGGCCACATTTCACTTGTTTCTCCATTTCGGTCCAAATTTTTACGTGATTTGTACTATTATCAAGTTTAATTTGGCCATTTTCGTCAAAAGGATGTAAAATATCTCCAACTTTTTCAAAACCAATCGGAACGTGAATCAAATAAAGATCTAAATATTCTAATTGTAAATTTTGTAACGATGTTTTAATCCATTTTTCTACATCTTCTGCTCTATTTCCTACAGCAGGAAGCTATAAATGCAAAAAATAAGAAATAATTTTTAATTTTAATAATGAATAATTTTTTAACAATTAATTTTATCAGTTTTATAAAATATTTATTTATTCATTTATTTATTGAAATCACTTTATTAAAATCATTTATTAAAATATTTACAAAATGAACATATGATATATTGAATTATCGTCAATATTACCTTCGTAACAATGAATATATCAGATCGTTTAAGTTTTCCGGAATCAAACCAATTTTTAAGAACGTCACCAATTACTTTTTCATTTTCATATGCCGTTGCTGTATCAATATGTCTATATCCTGCTTCTAAAGCAATGTTCAATGCATTTTCCAATTCCTTTTCTTGTGCCTTAAATATATTTTTTATTTTTTTGAAAAATAATTAATTTTTAAAAAATAAACTTCAAGAAAACTTATATTTAATTTCAAGAAATTAAAATCGTGCTAAGAGATTTGATTTTATAATTTTTTATTATTTATTATTTTCAATTTAATATATATATAATTCATAATTTATACAAATTTTTATATATAATTTTTAATAGTCTTTTATAATTAATATATATATAATTCATAACTTTTATAATTTTAGATTATTATAATAATTACATACAATCATTTATTATTTTTATGTATCTCATATCAAAAACACTATGCATGTTAACATTTAATATGTTATATTAATTATATTCATTAAAATAATAATATATAAGTTTCGAAAGTGAACAAGATTTTTCTAAATATATGTATATGTAACATTTATCATATCAGAATTGATATGATAAATACAATTATAGAATATTATACAATAGTTTTTATATTCAATATTATTTTTTTCTTTATTTTGAACAAATTTAAATTTATTTCAAGTTTTATTTTATTTTAGAATAGAATAATTAATTTTAATATTCATTAAAATATATTTATTATAAAAAATATATGATATTCCATTAAATGAAAAAAAAATTATTAAAAAGTTAAAAATATAAATATAAAAAATTAATATAAAATAGAACAATTTTACCTGCCAAGTGCCAAAGCCAATTATTGGCATTAACTCTCCATTTGGAAGCAAAATAGTATTTTTCTCCATAATGTTTATACGATATACGTTTTGGTAGGCAACTGAGTGATTGTCCGTTCTTTATCTTTTAAAAGCGTATTTCGCTTTCACTTTAAGTATTTGCCTTGAAATAAATCTATATTTTATGTTATTTTATGTTATTTTAATAATATTAATAATTATGTTATTTAATGTTATTTTAATAATATTTATTCCAAAAAATGCTAATTAAAATATTTTTAATCTTAAATAACGTGAATATTTATTTAAATTTTATAACGAATACATTTTTATATTGTTACATTCTTACATTATATATATATGAATATTATTATAATACAAACAATATTCAGAATATTAATATGTAATCTATCGTGCTAAATTATATAACATATTCTTTTATGCTCATATTTATAAAAAAGACAAAAATGAAACAATCTTTCTAATTTATCGATAAAATAATATACTAAAATTTTAATATAATAAAATAATTATTTTTTCATAAATTATTCGAATACAAATTCATGAAATTTTATTAAAAATTTAATGAAATAAAAAGTAAACGAAATAAAAAATAAATAAGCATTTATATATTTATATTTAATAATAATTATTTAGTAAAATATTTAATAATATTTATTTAGTTTAATATAGAAATTTATATTTTTTATAATATTTTAGGTTATATATATTTAATTGCAAATAATTTTATCGAAGAAAAAACAAAATATGAAAGAAAGATAATTGATTTAATAATGTATCGATGTGTAAATTGTGGTGCTGAAATAGAAGAACTTTACAGAAGATATTCTACAAATGTTTTAAAACTTTTAAAATGTGTATGTTATATAAATTTATTTCTTTTTTACAATTTTAAATTAATTATATTTTAATCCTTTTAATTCGAAGATCAACAGAAAATGTTATAAATCAATGAAGTATTGTTTTTAATTATGTACAAAATTCGAATATATATCAAAATGAATAGAGTTCTTTTCATCTGTAAAAATTACTATTCTAAGGCTTCAAGGCTTCATTGATATATATTTATAATTTTTTATAAGTTCCAATCTCTTTTTTTATCATTTCACTTAATGTTTTTTTCAACTTCTATATATGAATACTATGTCCTTGATTTTGTGATAATGTGTAGTATTAAATAAATATATAAATATTTATAATTATTAATATAATATAATAATATTACTATACTAATGTTTAAATTATTAACTGTGTGACAATTTTCATTGCACTTATCCTTTGATTATTTTATATCAATAAAAATATCATTTAGTGCGATTACTAATTTTTCGTAATTATTTGTTAGTTAAATAATGTCATAATGTTTTATTTTATCTATATTCTCGAAATTTTATAAACTTTATATCATAAAATAATTTTTGCAGAAAAATATTTTTTTCTTCTAATTAGTAATTGATTTTTATTTATTTTAGGAAATATGTGGCTTTTTGGCTGATAAATATATTGAATACGATTCAGTGATAATTTTAGTTGATTTAATATTACTTAAAAGACAAGCATACAGACATTTGCTTTATAATTGCGAAATAAAACATTGTTGGAAACTAGCAATAATTCTGTGGCTTATTGAATCTTTTCGAAATTTTTTTTTATGTAACAATAATAATGAATATATTCAATATTGGAAAACATTTCAACCTAATTTTAATCAAAATTGTAATCTCTATTTAATAATATTCAGTACCGTTTTTGCGCTCATTAGTTTTGTTTTTACTGTTATTTTTTTGACCAAATTTAAATGGTATTTTTATCCAAACAATCCAAACACATGTAGTATAATACATCTTATGAAAGCTTTAGTAATTGGTGGTTCTGGAATATTGTTAGGGCTATTAGAAATTACTTGGGGACATATTTTTCTGACACCTCATTACTTACTTATATTGGGATATATTATTCTTTGTTTACTCACAGCTTATTCAGGTAAGAAATTTCATTTTCATACCTATGATTTATGTTATTGTATTTAAGAAGATTACATATATTAATGTATATTGTATTATTTCAGTGATTACTAATAATGAAAAACTGGAATCCTTAATCATCTTGGGAATTGGCATGGTAGTCTATAAGTGTACATCTAACTATTCCTTTACTATATTTAAAGTTTTAGAATTAGTTTAATTATTTATTTTCAATTTTAATTTGACTTTATAATCTTACTTTCACATAACATTAAACTAAATTAAATAAATATATTTATAATGTACATATTATAACATATATATTAACATTCTTTAAGAGGTATGATACTCCATCCCAGAACTAATCTATCGAAACCACAAGAGAACAAATTACAGACACCACTATCAGCCCAGGCTACCGATGAGACCATTCTTCTATGTCCCTAAAATCAATTTTATAGGATATATATGTATAGCTAAATTTAAACTTTTACTTACCTGTCTACTAGTTCTAGGCAATCTAGCTAATCGTTGACCACTAAGATCAAATAATCTAATTTGTCGATTATCATGTGGAATTGCAACAATGCCAGTGCTTGATACTGCTAATCGGTTAGCAGCACTATCACCTCGAATTGTAGCTAAAGGACTTCGTATATTTCGTAATTCCCATATTTTTACGCTTCTATCATCCGAACCAGAAACAATTTTATCTTCGCGTGTAAAGACAGCTGACGTTACAGTCCTGCATCATATAAAATGATAATAATTATTTCATTTAACGATGATTTATTAAATTTACTTACTCGGTATGTGCTTGAAAAACAGAAACTGAATGAATAGATTCTCTAAAATCCCACAAACGAAAAGTACTATCTTTACTTGAAGTAACACAAAGTCTTTGTGTATGATGAGTTGATACATGAGAAAGTTCTTGATCATGTCCACATAATGTATGAATAATTTCTCCAGTTTCTACATCATAAAGATTTGCTGTTCTATCCCAAGAAGCAGTAACTACCTGTTCTGCATCAGGTAACCAATCTGCGGCCATAACGACACCCGTATGACCTAATAATTCTCGTACTGGAGTTCTATAATATTTCATAAAATAGTACAAATAAATTATTTCAATATTGTTCGTTATCAGTCGTTATGAATTGATATAAATTTTATTTACATCCATAATAGATCAATTTCGATTTAAAATATTTATTAAAAATACAATGAATAAATTAAAAGTCTGATTAAAAAATAAAAAAAATTTAAATTAACTTCTAATCCTTACCTCAATGTAGGAGGTTCTTCTTGCTCTTCATTTAAAACAATCACTCCACTGAGATTTCTATCGGAACTTAAGCCTGAAAGTTCTTCAGATGAATTTTGCCTTTTGGGTAAATCCCAATCTACAGCAGCTTGCCATACATGAGCAGAATTATCTCCACTTGATGTGAGTGCTAACTCTTTAGTAGGATGAAAACGTATAGAATTAACAGAACCAGAATGACCTATAAATTGAAAAATATTTTAGTTCATTTAATATACATATATATATTAATATATATAATATATTATAAAATATAATATATTAAAATATATATTAAAATATATTATAAAAATATGTCAATTGAAATTTAATATTAAAATTAATAAAATAAATAAAATTAAAATTTTTAAAATTGACATATATAAAACTTAAAAATTTTATAATAAAAGTAATATATTTAATATTAATTTATCAAATAATAAAGAATATTATTTTTTAACATAAATTAAATTGAATTAAAATAAGTTATATTAAAATAAAAAAAAAATATAAAATTTTAAATAAAAACAAACCAATATATTGCAATAAACAACGTCCACTATCAACAGCCCAGACTCTAGCACTGTGATCAGCAGAAGCTGTAGCAATAATTTGGCCTGATCTTCCAACAGAAACTTCCCAAACACCATCTCGATGTCCAGAATATTCTCTTTGCATACTACAAGTCATTGTTGGTGTTTTAAAACTGGAAACTATTTTACTAGTTTGAGCTTTTAATTTATTAGAAGTTGTTTTTGTTTTTGGTGCTGAGTTTCCTGCCATAGCTAAAAACATAAACATAATAATTTAATTTAATAATTGTCCAAATTAAGAGAAATATTTAAGATAATTTTTATTTATCACATTTTATTAATTTTATTAAACATTCTTACATTTTTGTTTGGAAAGACCTTTCGTATCTGGAAAGTCTGCAACATCTCCAAGAGGTAAACTCCGTTCTCCAGAACCATAGCATTCTCTTTCAAGTCTCTCACTAAGAGTATCTATTTTTTCTTGTACTGGATTAATAAATATAATTTTTAATTAATAATAATTAAATTTAAAGTTGTTTTTCTAACGAAAAAAAATATTTCTTCCAAATTTGAATTTAATATATACATAATATAATATTTTATAATATACTTATAATAAATATATATAAAAAAATTATATATACTTATAATAAATATTATATAAAAAAAATTAATATTCATACATCCTAAATTTTCTGTGTAAAGAACTTCAAATTCTTTTTCTATTTGTTGAAATAATTCAAAAAGTCGACATCTTAAAGTTGGTGGCAATACACTTTCATCAGGATCTGTACGAAATGCTGCATAGTGAAGTGCAGTTGGTTGTAATGGAGTAGATCCACTTTGTGATTGTAATTCTGTATCTGTGCTACTCTGTACTCTTGGAATAGAAATGCGTTTAATTTTTCCAGAGCTCTTATTTCCACTCATAGATGGTTCTCCAGGCATCTTTGATTCTAAAATATTAAAACTTTACAATGATATGAATTTATTTGAAAATCATACATTTACAATAAAATTTATTCACAATCAAATTATCAATAGAATAATTTTCAATGCCAGATATACTAACCACTTAATAAGTACTCACTGTGCATATAGTGTATACATATATATTTTCTTTCTTCTTGTATTTATATTTATATAAACACATATCACAATATATTATACAATAATTATATTCTACACATTTAATTTAATTTAATTTTGTTTATTTTGAAGATATAATAACAAAGAATAGCACTTTAGCTAAAATTCAGTTATTAAATTTGGGTTACAATACATAACGTTTCATGTGTATATACGTAAACACGTATATTCCAAAAAAATTTTTTGATTTATTAAAAATTGATTTTATTTATAAAAAATGAAGATTGGATAAATATTATCTTATATTTCAATTAAAACAGCTACATAATGAATATCTATAACATCCAGATGATCAACTCAATTTCTCTTACCATAGAACACTACTTCGCAATTGAAAGATTAGTCAATATTTGTTCGAAAATAATCTAAATTATAATATTTAGATTAAAATATTGGAAATTTACTAACAAATCTAATGAAAATAGGAATGAAATTATACATTATGAAAAATAAAATTAAACAACAAATTCAGTTGTGAATTGATTCTGAATAGTATATCAGTATAAGTATGCATATGATATACGGTCAATATGTACAAGGATATATGAATTTCTTTTTATTTCAATATTTCAAATACATAAATAATATTAACAATATTTCATAATATTTTATGATATTTTTATATTCATTTAATTATAATTTTTTTAATTGTGAATAAAAAACACTGTTAATTTGCTGTCATTTCTATTGTTATAAATTTTATATTACAAGCATATATTAAAATTATGCAAGGAATTTGTCCATTTTTATATATATTTTATAGGTAAATTTGATATATATTTTATAGTTTTT